GATGTATGACGGAAGCCAACAGCTTGGACGCAATCGGAAGTAGACTTATCCCCCGATAGTTGTTACAGGAACGACATGAACCCTTTTTAAAGATAGGGACAACTATCGACTCATTCCATGACGTTGGTACACTCTCTAGTTCCCAAACCTTTGTAAACAACGTCGTCAATTCCTTAGTCAAAAAGTCACCACCATCTTTAAAAAGAGCCGGAGGTAAGTCATCTGGGCCAGGTGATTTGTAACGCTTCAAGAGTTGGAGTTCCTTGCGGACTTCCTCCTCATTTGGTGGATCAGTCGTCACCGGCCATGGAGGGCAGGACAGTCTGACCGATGTTGCCGGAGCAGCAGGCCAGTTGAACTGTCCTTCGAAAAATTCTGCCCATCGTCCAAGACGTCGATGGATGTTAGTGATTGGCATCTCATCATCCTCGTAGATTGTTTCGCTCCTTCACGACTCTCTGGCTGGGGTCCTAGAGGTGGTGCAACACAGTGGTTAGAGACGTTATCAGATATGGCTCAGAATAGAAGCCAGTGGCGATCCGATTGCAAACTTCTTTTACTTTCTCCATAAAAAGTGGTTGCTTCTTTCTTAACTGAAGGATTTCCTCTGATTGTACTTTTTCGTTTCCCCCACTATGACTATTATTATTATTATTATTATTATTATTATTATTATTATTATTATTATTACACTACCTTACACTAATCTCTCCGTTATTGTTCTTTTCTTTCTCTTCGAATTCTCATTGTTTTGTGTGGCGCGTATATATTTGGTGCCCTCGTGTACCAATATTTATGTGTTCAAATAGATAAATAAAATAGTCCAACCTGTATATATTTTTCCGTGCTCATATTTTGTTTCAAAATTTTGTTTTTTAGGTCTTAAATTCTTTACTTGGCTTGTTCTTAGTTTTCATACTCTACTTTTAATTGTTAAATGACTGTTTTGAACGTTAATACACCTAACAAGGTTTCGATAGTTGTGTGTTGCCACTAGCTTCAAACCTACTCACTAACTTGTACCGGATTGCAAGGTTAGAATTCAGGAAAATATAATTTCAAGTTAGGTAGCAGCATTATGTGGAATGAATAGTTAACATAATTGGGATATCTATTTTCTACATTCTAATAAAAGTTGTCTAGTGGTAAATATGTCATGTTGCAATGTTAGAAGGCAGTTAATTAACTATGGAAAACTTGAAGTTAGCATTAAGCAGAGATAAGGTAACTAGACACTGGTCAAATAGAAAACGACATATTGTGTTCATTTTAAAAATTTACATAGTAGACTAAAGTACTAAGCAGGTAAGTGATGGTTTGGTCACGTATTGCGTATGCCTGAACACCGATTACCACGACGCTCAATGCTCACTAGTGTTGGGGATGGTTGGAAGAAAGCTAAGGGCGGCCAGGTCAAAACATGACATCAGTCTTTGAATTCACTAACTTCTGGTTTGAATCATGCTGAGAGATGCAGACTGCTTGGTTGGGGTCCGCGTGACTATCGTAACCAATGGTTGGAGACTCTGGATGGCATGGCTCAGAATCGATCACAATGGCATAGGTGTATACACTGTCTGTCTTCCCTTAAACTAAGAGATTAAAATCGCTTCATATCTTTCTTTCCACTAACTAATTCTTTCTTCCTGTACTATATCCTTATATGCAATCTTTCTTTTATATATTACCACCTCTGTATTAACCACTTTTATGAATCCTGTGTTCATCTTGTTGTGTTAATGAGGTATGGCAACTTGGACCGATGTGCCTGGTCCTACGTTGTAGCTGACTGACCTTTAGTTCCTTACTGAAGTTTAGAAAATGTTTGTTGCGATTGTTTATTTTGGTTTTGATACTGCGTTTTAATAAACCGATTTTTCAGCTGTGAAATTTAGTCACAGTAATGTTAAGCTCATTTACCAGCTACAGATGAGTGTATTTGGCTTCGAACCAATTTAAATATGAGGGCTAATGATACTATCCGGTCACTTAAGTAGAAGCAGGCGAGGGGGCTCTAACAACCGACTCACCACTCAACATATCAGTGTGGCTAATTTATGTGGACATTTGGTTGTCGTTCAGGTGGACACTTATAAACTTCACTTCATCGGACATCGTCAGGGAAACGAGATAATGCGGCACATTCCTTGATACATTGATTGTGTTTTAAAAGTATGATAACACAGACGGTGGCGATAGCATTACTAACCCGTTCATCTGATTTGGCGCACAGTCTAGCCTAATTTACATTCTTTTTGTTTGGTATTAGGGGATAATAAGAATATCCGGTTCTGAAATACATCATATAAATAAATTTTTAATTCATATATGTTGGTTTGGATCTGCCGATTGATATTTGGGACTACAAGTAATCCGTTTCTTTTGACATATATACATCTTTTGCTGATTGCTTCGTTATTGCCAGTAAGTCACTGCTCTGGGATGCAAGTACTTCCAGCTGACGAATCCCGGATAGGACGAAATGCGCGTCCCGCTAGTCGCCATCCATCTCTGCATTATATAACTTTTTGAGAAATGCATTTATCTTAGGTTCCTATTCCTGTTTAATATTTCATCATGTTTTTTCGAAGTGTTGCTAACAACGCTTCAGAAACCACATTGCTGAGAGTTTGCCTTCCAGTGAGACTGTATTATTATACATTTTAGATTAGTTACTCTAGTAGTCAATGGTTGATGGGACTCTCCATTTCTTATGACCGATTTTAAATTATTATTATTTCACTTACCCATATTTGTAATATTTTTAGTTGTTGTTTAACTCATTTCTCACTTGAAAATAACAAGTATGAGATAGCCTAACATCTCTTTTCATTATGCATGACTGCAATCGATATTGACAGGAAGGTAGTTTTATTTTACAAACTTGTATCAGTTAAAAATTTTACGTTCTTTAATGTCGTGTAAAGAAAAATATAAGGAAAATAGTGATTAATAGGAACAACATTCATGTACCCTGAGCATTTCTTCTTAACGTGGTAGAGATTTTAACCTAAAAAAACTACCCTACTATCAAAAATAAATTACTTGGTCGAATTTGTGTTAGGATCAGCAGTCATTGATGACTGAAGCTAGTTTATATGATAATACATGTTCACCAACAAGGCTTTAATTAACTTATTCTGTTCCTCGAGTGATAATTTTATATCATCCATTTTCTGTGAGAAAAATTTGACGACAGCAGAAATGTATCCATCCTGGGATCATGTTTGATCTCCCCGCTGACATCTTCACAATGCCTAGTGCTCTGGATGAACAATATGCATTGCATTCGGTATTTCTTGCTTACTTGGCTCTATAAACCTGACCACGTGAGTATTTTTCCATGCTTTAATCTAAAGACCGATTGAGAACACAGTACAGGTCTAAACCAACGTTTATTATATTATTACAAACACTGAAGCGAAATGTATATCACAGTTCTCATATTTGTCTATCTGCGACCATTAACCAATCACCGTTCACTTTCACTGGGACAACACTACTACTCATCAAAGATTCGATGTTTTAAATTTTATTTTGTATTGACTTGAGAAAATCCTCCAATGTGTCACTTTTTTAATCTTCCTAATCCAATAACCTTGTTCGTTTATTCCCCTTTCCCCCTATCCGTTTCGATCATCACTTTGTCAAGAATGTGACCATTTAAACTGATAAGTGTATATGTATCAATTCTGTTTTCTTTGTCTTGGCTTATCATGTCAGTAAAATTCAAAACTAATAGTGTTCAAGAAAAGTGATGAAAAGCCTAGGCAGAGATGTTTTGTTTCCATTTTCTTGTTATAATTATTGCCAATATATATATTCAACTGATGATATCAGTTAATTATTTTGTCTAATACAATGTTTCTTATCTCTGCTTAAATCAACTCAATTCAAGACCACCCATATGATTATATTATTGCCATTAAACTGTCCTTATTTTCTGCAATATATGAATAGATTTGGTTAAAAAAAATACTAAAATACGACAAGTATTTTGTGTAGGTTATATTTTTAAGTGATATGGTGATTTACCTACTTACTTGACTATATTAATGATCAATAAAAATGTATTTTGAATATATAGAGAGAGTAGTCGTTGGTTTTAAATTAAGGTTAATGCAACTCATTTGATAAGTATAGAATTATATATTCATCTTTGAGCCATTTTGTTTATATGTTAGTTAGCGATCCCAACTAGCTGTCTAAATTGAACTTACGAAAAATAAAGCTCTAACCTACGATCTAACTTCCTAAAGTCAAATCCTGTAATTGATAACTAAATATTGACTTATATCAACAATTTCTTCTCATCATCTGACGGTCTACTCCCTTACATATCACCTTTTTCTTCATTAGTCTTTAGTTACTGGTATTAGTTTGGCTGTAAAAAGTCGCGTTCACAACGCGTCAGGGAGAACAGTTTTGTTCATTGGTCCTGAAACATGGATCACTGGTCTGAGGATGCTCAGAGACGCTCATCTATGATCCTGCACGCCGGATGTGCACTGCCGAGGAGTCCCATACAAGGACGAAACGGCCGTCCAGTGCTTCCAGGTTTTCATTGATCTAACATTGATCGGTTGGTGACCTCAATCAAAACTCAACAATCTCCACAACTTTATACCGATATAATTAGATACTATGAAATTCTATTAAAGTGTAACTATTATAAATTTTACCAATAAATCATCTAGACTGTACCTTTTCCCCCTGTAAAATTTAATTGTGTTAATAGCTTAGTAGTTAGATTGTTATAGGAATGTTACAGTATCCATTGTTTACTAATCTTATGATATAATATGATGACTAGCTTGTTGTTTGAAATGGTATTCGATGCTGATATCCGTATTATAGCCTTATTAATGTCTTCAAATAACGCTTAGTATTAAAAAAACTAGATATTTAATAAGTTTAATTGTTGAAATTTTGTTTTCTTTCTGGATATCATTCACATTTAAAGTTTTCGGGTGTTTCCTCTTTGTCTTCCCTGTCTTCAGGAATTCACTAAACTAGACGAATCACAAAATCCTGGAATGACCCCCACTATTGAACAAACCTATAAACGAGCGCGTCGATGTGGTATGCCAAAACTTAAACGAACAAAAGCATTTCTCAAGCAGACACTCGTAAGTAATTGTTTCTTGAAAAAAATACTCGGCTCTCTTCATGAAATTTTGTCTGTTTAATGAACCTCCAATATTTTCTCCTAAATTTATCTGCCTTATAGTCAGTATATTCATCTCCGTTGTATTAAAAAATGGCTGTTTTCATCATTGAGTTAAGTGGGAAGAAACTGTAAAACAATATTGATTCATTCGACATCACATACAATCAAGATAGTATTTCAGATACAATTGGATCATGCTGTTTTCCATCCATTTTTTAAGAGTATTAGAGCTCCTATAGATTTTCTGAACAGCCACTGAATTGTTCCCACTTTTTAGAGTGAAAATTTTCGGTTGGTTGACATATGCTGGTTAAATACACCATAGAAGTTCATTGAAATCATGAATTGACTTAAATTAAACCACCATTTAAAACCTGGAAGAACTGGACAGCAGTTTCGACCCAGTATGGGACTGATCGGCAGTGTATATCCACGATCCCTCACGTGGGGACCGAACCTAGGATCATCAGTCGCACGCGTGAACTCGTAATCTCTAGACGGCATCCAACTGTGTTAATTTCTAACTTTAATCAATCCACGACATTGTGCGACCATCTTCTATTGTCTTCAGTAGGAAACTGCCTTGCATTCTATATGGATTAACTCCACTCTTCACGGTCTCTCACTAGAACCCCAGAATTACCTCTTGAAGACACTCACTAGTGAGCACATGGTGGTCTAACTTAGGTCGATGATTTAAAAGAAATTCAACAATCTTCACAGCCCTATGATGACGCCATTGATGGTCATTTTTTCCTGTAGTACCTGATTTTAAAAATTTATTAGTGTTGATGATCATGTCAATCACGGTGTAATCACAGAACCAGAAAAAAGTGTTTGTGGTTGGTCATACCACTATTGTGAATGGTTGGTGTTTTGTATTATTAGCTCTATACTTTTCAAACTTTGTTGAGCAACCTGTATATGAGTTGCACTGGATTTTATAGGTAATTTTCTCTAACCTTCCCTTTCTCATCTGTGGGGAGGTAGCATCACTGAAGATGCTAGTTATTCTTTTGCATTACAGATATCCGACAGCCACAGAGCCTTTTCATGGAAGACCATTCCTTTTGCTTACTTAAAGACTCAAGTTTATGCGTTAAGTTTTTTTGGTGACTTTAGGTGACGTTTTACGTTCAGTGGTTGATTTACAGTTTTTTTGAAGATAAAAGATACTATTTTAGTGGACTTGTGTATATCTGGCGAGTTATTACATAAAGTTAGTACAAGTAAAAATCTATACGAATTTCACAAAACCACTTTTTGTTTGAACAGTGTCACATCAGTCGCTCCAAGATGTCACACCAGGAAGATATTACCTCAATTAGAGTATAATTTATGAGGATAATATTTTTGTCAGAAAATTTCAGTTTGATCTATCAACTAGGAAGATTTAATAAACTTTTCCCCATATATTTATATCATCATATCATCATCACTACATAAAGTAATGGCATAATTAGGTTTTAGTTGCACACCATGGAATTTCAGTAGACTACCTTTGAAAATTAGGAAGCACTAGTAAGCCGTTTCGTCTTAGGTAGATATCCACGGCACTGGTACTTGTCAAACCCCTGGGCTTCGCGACGAACACATCCTTCAGACCACTACGTCGGGATCTGATGGCGGTGTGGAAACACAAATTTAACTATTTCCAAAACCCCCTCCATACTAACATGCTTATCGTTAAATTACTTTATCCAACGAATTTATTCTTTCTTGAATCCTGCTATCTATGCGTAATCACTTATGCTATTACTGATACTGTTTGTCTACTTCTATCACTCCCTCATTTGTCTTGATAATTTCATCTCACTGTGCTATTTGAACTGACTCATATGTGTGCCATTACACATGACTGACTGAATTCCACCAAGTTCTGATTATAAATAATTTAAAACAGTCAACGTTTAACTATTTCGAGGAAAGTATGATATTGTTCCTGTCATCAGTTTTAACAATTAGATAATGTTATTAGTCTTTCTATAATGATAATTGTTACAATGATATAAAAAAAAAGAATTATAGTTAGATAAACTAAAAAAAACTGACCGTGTGTGATGTTATATTTTTCTATTGTTAGGAACAATGTGTATGTGTAGTTTGTGTGAATTCCAATAAACATAGTATACATGACATAATATAAATTATCTCTTAAATCAAGTTGTTCATACAGTTGATCATATTTCACATTATATTCTATTTGTTCAATAAGATTTATGTATTCAATATTATTCGCTAATGATTATTTTCTTTTCCAAATTAAAAATATTCAACATATTTTTCTTTGTTTAAACGTGTTAACATTTAACATGTTAACATTTTGGCATATTGGCTGTTTTCACCTTAAAAACAAAATGAATTATAATAATCAAATAGATGAAACAATATCAAATTATGTGTTATTAAAATTAATAGCAATTGAAGACGGTATATATTTTTCATGGTAGTAGTTTTTTTTTAATTAGTTTGGGATTGGGTGAGGTTGGTTGATTGATTTTTTTAATTTTTATTTGGCATAGTGTATGACTCAAAATTTCGATAGCTAGCTATTAGACAGTAAAGTTATAGTATTGAGAGTAGTGTTTTATTTTTTTCTTCGTTGTCACCCAACCTTCTGGATCGTCTTTCTTCCTTTTACTTTTATGATCATCTCATTCTTCTGTGTGAAGCTTCTCTCTCTCTCTCTCTCTCTCTCTCTCTATATATATATATATATATATATATATATATACGCGTGCATACGTGGACACAATCCATTTTCCTATTGGTTAATATGTGAAACATGAAAGCAGCAGACAAGGATTTTGTTTTCTATCAGTTTGATTTACTTACTGCTACTATATTGGAAAAAGATAATTGGGATAACAATAATAGTAATAATGATAATAATGCTATCCGTTTAATCCACCTCCACTGATTTTTGTCAATTGTTTATCACAACTTTCAGATTACTCGATGTATAGCTACCCATAGAACATTTATTAGTAGATGATAATGAGGGTAATTATGTTACATATTACTTATTGACCTGACGGTAACTGATATTAGTTTTTAAAATTAGATTTATCTAAATTATTCATTTGTTTGGTTAGTAGGTTATAATTTTGTATGATACTCACAGTTACTAAATCATAAGTTACAGTGTAATGGGAACCATTAAAAACTTCCTAGATTACTCGATAGTAGTGGTGGTGTATGTTACTTATGTCGACAGATATAAGTAGTAAGCAACACCAATCGGAAATGGAAAACCTAGCAGCAGAATGCTAAGAAGATCGAGTTGAAGAAAACAGGTAGGGATTGTGAATTGAAAGAATCATACGGATTGTGAAGGACAAATGATGGATATTTACAAATGAAGTATTCAATGTATGGTTCTCGTATTTTACCAAGATATTCTGTAATTTGTTATTAAAACATTAATTTGTTGTCCCCACTTGAGTGTTCGTTCGTTACAGTGGTAATAGTAGTAAGTTTTTATCTACCTGCAAAAGTGGAGCTGTTAGGCACGTGTTGGACTTTTATTTTAATTACTTATTGCAAAAAATAGAACGTACTCAGCTTTCAATTACACTAAACTGTTGATTCATATAGCCGATCCTGTTTGAGAAGTTAGATAGTATTCATAGTTCTAAATGTCGAAAAATAATTGGTTAGTAATTATTGACTAGTTGTTTTGGAGGAAAAAGAAGATACATATGTTTGTTTGTTTATTGTTGTGCTGATTTGGTCAACTAGTTTTTCCTGTGTGTAATTGATAATAATTAATTTGGTGGGCGAAACAGTGAATTTCTTGCCGATTAAATCGAACAACAACAGGTCTTGAATTACGGCTGAATTTGACCAGAGAGTTTTGATATGGTATGCTGGTAGACTATCATCTATCCAAGTTATTTCGTTACTATGTTGTAATCAAGGTTATGTTGTGGTGGTTTGGCCATTAATCTATTTATTACTTCTTTCTTTTCTCTCTATCCCTCATTCTGTGTTTTTAATAAAACGAAGATAGTATATCATCTTTCTATATGGAAAACCTTTAGTTTTGAAGATTAAATTAGTTAAAAGTTGTATACTTCGTGTAATTTATGCATAGAAAATATTGTTCGCATATTGTGGAATAATTGAGTGAATAGTGTTGAGGTTAAGCATAAGGTATTAGGTAAAGATAGTTAATCGGTTCATAAGGTTCTGAATTTTTGTTGACTAAAATGGTTGGCGCATGCATTACACATGACCAACCAACCCCCCACCTCGATGTATGGTGTTATCTGAAGTAGAAGTAGGTTTACAGAAAGCCGGGTGTGACCAAACTAAAAAGTTGTATCATTCCATTAATTCATCAAGTGTTGAACTAAATCACATTAGTAGGTGCAAGTTATCTGGTTGGGGTTTGGATAATTGTCATGACCAGCGGTTGGGAGACGTTGGGTAACATCGCTCATAATTCGTCACAGCGGTACAAATGCTTCTAATCTTTACATTGTTCTAGGTCTTGAATTCTAGTGTTTATTCATACTACACCTGTTGGTTATTTTTTCAAACCATATTCTGAATATTATCCAATGATTCTTGTCTAATTTAAATTGAGTTTCTTACATAGATCATGTTTAGAGATAAACTAATTGTTTGATGACTCCCCAGTAGTCCGATTTTATAAACCCTTTTTTTAAAACTCTCTTTCTTGTGTTTAATCTTCTCTATATAACATTCGCCTATCTATTATCATCTATCTGTTTGTCAATTCTCTGTTCCAACTTTTCTTTGATTAAAAAGGATCGCAATGGTCTATGTTTTGTTGTTTCTTTATTGATTATTTTTTGGATACTTGACAATTTCCAGTTTGTTTGGACAGTCATAATTTATGCTAAAGAAGTAGGATGTTTTATGTAGTTAGTGTATGTATACACATGTTTAATTCTTGCACATTGTCTGTTCCAACGTTTATTTTTATATATT